ACTCGTTAAGCGAATGTACGTTCTGAGCTGCGAAACCGATATAACAGCAGCTTATCACCAATCTGAAAGGATGGAAAATAGCAACCCTAGCACGATGGATATTTGGCATCAACGGCTAGGACATATAAATAGAAAACAGCTATTGGAATCAGTCAAGAAGAAGCTCATCAAAGGAGTTGCCATCCAAGGAAATGACGAACTGAACTTTTGTACAGGGTGTGCGGAAAGTAAGATGAGCAGAAAACCTTTCAAGTCAACAGAGGGGAACAAGACTTCTAGAAAATTACAGATAGTTCACAGCGACGTATGTGGACCAATGTCAATACAGAGCTTTTCGGGAAAGCGTTATTTTGTCACATTCATTGATGACTACTCGAGATGTGTCAAAGTCTACTTCATTAGAAAGAAGTCTGAGGTACTAAAGAGGTTTAAAGAATTTGAAGCCTCTGCAACCAATGAAGCTGCATGTAAAATTGGAACCTTGCGTACAGATAATGGCGGAGAGTATGTATCAAATGAATTTGAAAATCTTCTGAAAAGGAAAGGTATCAAACACGAAACTTCTGTTCCTCACTCTCCACAACAGAATGGAGTGGCTGAGCGCATGAACCGGACTCTCGTTGAATCCGCAAAAGCGATGATGAACCATGCCGGACTCAGCAAGACCTTCTGGGCAGAAGCAGTCAACACTGCAGCCTACATAAGGAATCGTGTTATAACCAGCGCATCAGGTCAAACACCGTATGAAAAATGGTATAGAAAACCCCCTGATGTTTCCCACTTTCGTGTGTTCGGCTGCATAGCTTATGCTCATATTCCAGAGGCAGAGCGAAGAAAGTTGGACAAGAAAGCCAACAGACTTCGATTCTTGGGCTACAGTGCAAATCAGAAAGGATACCGACTCTTTGATATGCAGAGCAAGAGAATAGTGATCAGAAGAGACGTTAACTTCAATGAAAATGATTTTGGATCTCAAAAACAGTATTTGAAGATGGGTCCAGAACCAGCAAAGGAAGATAAACGACAAACAGAGCCTACGGAAAGGGACACGGATGCAGAAGAAAGCCATCCTCGACGATCTCAAATATCCACAAAAGGGGTACCACCACCTCGATTTGGCTTGGATGAGTATGCTGACGTCACAGAAGCAAGACATGTTGTATTCTCAGCAATCATCGAAGAACCAGCTACCATCCAAGAAGCCTTCAATAGTGAATATTCCGCACAGTGGAAAGTAGCTACGGATTCAGAGTTTCAGTCACTCATAGAGAACCAAACGTGGGAGTTAGTGAAGCCACCAAAAGACCGAAAGGCTATCGGGTGCAAGTGGGTCTTCAAAGTAAAGTATGACAAAAATGGACAAGTGGAACGTTTCAAAAGTCGTTTAGTAGCAAAAGGATATTCTCAGAAGTACGGCGTCGATTTTGATGAAACTTTTTCTTCTGTCGTGCGGTTCAGTTCTATTGGAGCCTTACTGGCTTTTGCAGTTCAAAACCGAATGCTGATTCATCAAATAGATGTAACTACGGCATTTCTGAACGGAGATTTAACGGAAGAAATCTATATGGAGCAACCAGAGGGTTACGTGATACGTGGAAAAGAGAATCTCGTTTGCAGGCTCAAAAAATCCCTCTATGGACTCAAGCAATCACCACGTTGCTGGAATCGAAAATTTAGAAACGCGCTCGAATCACTAAATTTCAGACAAGGTCAAGCAGATCCGTGTATCTTCGTGAAAGGATCTCTTGAAAGAAACAATTTGACAATTATTGCTGTTTACGTAGATGATTTAATCATCATATCCACTACTCAAGATGAAATGAAACAAATGAAAGTAAACCTGAGAAAGAATTTCAAGATGAATGATTTGGGCAGCCTTCATTTCTGCCTTGGAGTCAGCGTTGAGCAAAGCGAAGAAGGTGTCAGTCTATCACAGAAGCAGTACATTGAAAAATTACTGAAGCGCTATGGACTTCAAGATGCTAATCCAGTGTGTACACCTCTTGATCCAAATGTCAAACTTGTAGCAGATGATGGAAACAGTAAACCTGTTGATAACGTTCAATATCAGTCTATGATAGGGAGTTTACTCTATGCTGCCATCGCAACAAGGCCTGATATCGCTCAAGCAGTGGGAGCTCTTTCTCAATTCAATTCAGCACCAACAGAAGCGCATCTTACTGCAGTAAAACGGGTATTTCGTTATCTGAAAGGAACAATCAATCTTTCGCTGGTTTACAAGAAATCAGAAAGCAAAGAAGTTACGGGATTTAGTGATGCTAGTTGGGCTGACGATATGCAGAATCGCCACTCAACCACTGGAAATGTCTTCATGATGGCCGGAGGTGCCATTAGCTGGCTTAGTCAAAAACAATCAACAGTGGCTCTTTCAACCGCTGAGGCAGAGTACATTGCCTTAGTAAAGCTGCCCAAGAGGTCGTATGGCTGAAGCAACTGTTTAGAGAAATAGGAGACAATGTGCAACCTATAACCATCATGGAAGACAACCAAGGAGCAATTTCGATGACAAAAAACCCAGTCGGACATAAACGGACGAAACACATCGACATAAGGTATCATTTTGTTCGAGAACAAGTAGAGAAAGGGACTCTGCTACTAAAATATTGCAACACGAAAGAAATGCTGGCTGACTTACTTACTAAATCACTGAACAGAGGTCAATTTGAGTACCTACGCTGCAAGCTCGGAATGCAATAAAACCTGAAAAGAAACTGTTGATTGAGTGGGAGTGTTGGGAACGTGCACTCAACAGTTACGTAATTGCTGCGTTTGTAAGTAAACTAATGACCTTCGTAATTAGTAGCTAGTGTAGGACGCGTAGTTAGAGTAGATTGCTTGCTGCTCTATTGTTAGCTAATTAGAAGCTTCTAGAAAGTTCTAATGATCGCTGAGGTAGAACTTTTCAGCACGCGTCACGTAGAGTTAAGTTAGTTGCATGTTTCGCAGTGAACAAGTCGATAGAATCTCAAAACAACACGTATCGCAACATTCTCACATCTAGCATACAATTGAGCTGAAGACAAAGCTATTGAAACAGGTTTAATGCAAAAATGATCTGTAGAAGGTACAATAAAACGAAATTTCAATGGCATTACAGTCCAATACAATTTTACATTTCCAAACTTCCGTAATTTGTAATTATGGATAAACTTATCATAATACATCACGCAAGAGAAATCACATCTTATAATCTATAATCTATATTTAAATCGACAAATGTTATATGAAGAAATAGGGTAAAAATAAAAATTCTTTACTGTAGGAAACGGGTTTCATTATAGACCCAAATAACATAAGATAAAACTCCGTCAAAGCAAAATACTTTATAGCATGGAAATAGTATTTGGCAACGGTGTTGCTTGTTCTAGATCTGTTGAACTTCTATTCTATTCTATTTGCCAATAAACAATAGTCTGTGTCTCCGATGAATTAGATTATGGGTTGTTATCCGACCCCAACTTCTCCGTTTTCTGCATAACTGAAACCTCAGCGCAAGCATTAGCGACGATGTATGTTGCCGAGATAGTCGCTTGAGACTGGCTTGGATTTGTGGCTGCAATTGATTCCCTGCAATGATGCGATCTCTTGCACCAACAGCTTATGACTATGGTGATAATAAGTATCAAGGCTACAGCCCCGACTGCACCACCGATGTAAGTTCCCGTTTTGCTGGCCTTAGAGGAAGAACCGTCTCCTACAGATAAATTGATATTTTCGATAAAGCAAGAAGTTTTGCGAAAGATAATATCACAAAAATTGACTGAAAACAGCTTGTAAAAGGGTATCTCAAAGAAATACTCTAAGAACTTCCCAATTTTGAAGAATCCGAATTTCATTTTCACTTTTCTACACGAATAGGCACACATCTAGATTTTAACAAGATAGATGGAATAGAATGTAATAGAATAAAATAAAAAATGAGTTTGTGCCTTTTTCACTGCTCTGAAACTACACGTTCAGTGACAAGTTGTTGTATTTTTTGTGGGCGCCTGGTCCTTCTTTTACAAGTTTCATTGCCATTGACTGCTGTTGATTCGGGAAAGAAAAAAACCTTGTCTATAATAAATCAAAAGCTAAACTAAGCCGTTATGTTACTATCGAAACTTGGCCATTTTTAGCCAGTTTGTAAGACACTCAAATTGATTGGACCCCCCTGTCAGGCCTTAATGGGAGTACCCCCCTGGGCTCGGCCTTTCCGAATTAGACTCACACGACGTTATATTTTATGACATTCCACACAGCATTACGGTGTACTTACTTGAAAAAAAATTACCATTTCCAATCAAGCTACAGCTAGTTCCATTTCCTGAATAGCCTTTTTTGCAAACACACAACGATCTGGGCCGTATGGAAATGCAATCTGCGTTCACGCTGCACTTAGTACAATCGGAAAGATCTGAAAGAAACATTTTTATAGCTCGTTACAATATTGAAGTTCATTCCAAACACTAAAATGAATCATCCGAAAGGACTTACAAATAATGTCAAATTTTTATAAGTGGAGCTGGCGTTATTGGGAAAAAATTGTTTATTATTTTATCACTTGTTTATGGCTTGACCAAAACATCCACCAACATTGCCATAAACCAATTGAGAAATCTTCTTATTTACATAAAATAATTTCTTTTCGCTTTTCTACATCCATTTGGAATGCTTATATTTACTCAATGTAAGAGATCCACAAGGGACTCATTTTAGCAAATATCACTTTTTGGGGCAAGCTCCTTTTTCGAATTGTCCGATTTTACAACAATATTAAAAACTTGGAAGATATTCTACCATTCTGCAATCATTAGGGGATTTCGGAAAACAGACGCTTTAAGTCAATTTTATTCATGCATCGTTCTTGTTCCACGTAGAATCATCTACTGGATTCAACTAAATGATACTAAAATTCACTGAAAATAATATTTCAGAACTTTTAGTGTAATAAAATAGAGGAAATTGCAGCAAATGGTAATTACAGTCTTTTGAGCAGAAATATCCATTCCATGCATAACCACTTTTGCATGAGCACCTGTATGAACCAATAGTATTGGCACATATTGTACCGATCCTGCAACTGTCTGTCCCTATTCTACATTCATCTTTATCTGTAAATGAAATGTTGTTAATTTTTGTCATAATTTACTTGATTAATAACGCGGACAGTTCTTATTTTTATTGGTGTCCACGATGACAGCTGTTAATTCTAGAGCAATGCGCTTTTGGCTTCCTCGTATTTGAAAAAAGTCTTTCGAAATGTAGATTTAGTAACAAAACCTTTTTTTTCGATTACAACCTCTAGAAAAGAAATTTTTATTGGCCTTAAACTATTGAAAAACAAAGCGAAAATGAAGCTCTGGTTTATAGGTATATATTGAGGAAAAACGGTTGATTGTCCCTTGACTAATTTGAGAATGGTCTTTTGCAGAAGTCATTAGTACTAATAGCTAAGTTAGATAGTTTGGAACTCGTAAAGTGGAGTTGATTTTCGCTGACATTTTTATTTGACATGTTGAAGAACGAAGGATAGAGATGAAAACATTCCAAATCAATTAAACTAAACTGCTATTGTATGCTTCTCTATTGAATAGGTAGTTTATGGCTTGCTAGTCTGGGTTTTATCCTGTAAACTTTACAAGATAGGACTACAACAATTGCAAATGCAAAAGTGAGAATTGGGGAAAAAAGAAAGAATTAAAATGGATCTAATTCAAAGCTCATGTGTGGCTTATTTTTGCAAGAAAATGTGTAATACGGCAATGTTCGAAAGTTGAGAGATAAGCTACCATTTTTGTTTTTGATCGAGAGAAAGAGAGAACCTCACATGTTGGTGACTGAGATGAAGGAATCGCCGAAGATACTAGATGAGCTCATAGAAAGATTCAAAGACAAGAAAGGTAGATTGGAACTGCTCTTTAAATTCAGATAAGTGGAGTAGAAAGTGGTCAACGTATAATTACGGTACCTTATAATGAAATTGATAATATTTTGCGGCATCCTAATTTGCACATTGAACTGTTTTCTTGAGCCTAGAGTCACTGACTAGAGATCCTAGGGTTCAAGCCCCTAACACTTTTCACTCAAAGTGATGAAATTCGCCAGCTCACTGCAATTCTAAGCGTAAGAATTAAGTGGAGTGGTCACATCGAGTTGAAGGACCAGGATACTGCTTGAAAATCATAGTTTCTCGGCCCCCTTAAACTACCTTCGGGAGCTAAGTAGCAAATACAAAACAGCAGTTTACGATAAATTAGAAAGATACCCTGATAAGCACAAGGACAAGATGTTTGGCAAGGGGACTGGTTGAAGAATTTCAGCATCTTTTGACAGCACTTCATGAGTCTTTTGAGGATGGAACACGCACATTAACAAATCTATTACTTCTATTTCCTGCCTTTTGCAAAAAATACCTATGCATAATGTGCCATTCCCGGTGAAACCTCTTCTGCAGTAACAATCATATGAACCAACTGTATTTATGCAAATGGCATTGGGATCGCATCTATTTGTTCCTCCGGTACATTCATTGAAATCTGAAAAAAGTAATGTGAGTCAAAATCATTTCATTTTTTATTCCTTTAGAATTTTAACCTTACAACATTAACAATGAAGAAAATAAAGCTTCACTTGATTGTATAGAAATTTTATTTACCCTTTTTTACATTCTATTGATATACTCGCTGTCAAAATTACTATTTGCTTTAAAAATTAGAAGGAAGTACCAGCTAAAACCATTGTTTTGCTGGCGTTACCACCTCACATACAATCACTACCAAATTTACTTGGAACACTCGACACTTTGCGATGTGCTTTTCAATTGTTCATTTGTTTTCCCGAATACAACTACTTCCGCCCCCTCTTTCTCCCAAAACAATGTTGAGAGAATAGAGAAATATCATAGAAGTCACATGAAAAAGCGTACTCTACAATCCCTTCCTTTTTTCTATAGTAAATCAACATTGTTCTTAGGGGGAGAGTGGGGTGGCTGAATTTGCCTTTAAAAACTGACGTTAGTGTTTCAAGACTTTTGGCAGTGATTGACCAATTTGATTGACCTACGCTGCTTATGCATGATAGATGAAACATATCTAACCTTCTACATTTAAAGCTTCTGTTTTTGGCTGCAAAAGTAACGACAATAACTTCTAAGAGAGTGAGAAAAAAATATTCTCATCGACAAAGTATGCAGCCAAATCCTTTTTCACTTTTAAAACATTATGAGATATTGAGAAAAGAGAGGTTCAGTTTTTCCGTGTAGCTTTGTTTGTTTTTAAAGGGTTTGTTCGTTATTTTTCTGACAGGTTACAGTATTGCATTATTTGACATATTTTCTGTTGTGAGTTATAGGTATAACAATATACCGTAATGCCTCGAACAAGCGCCCCCTTCAAAAAAGAACCCCCCTCCCTCTAATAAGTGCCCAACCTAAAGGTGAAGTTATTGAACAAGCGCCTCCCTCGAATAAGCGCCCATCCTTCAACCGTCAGAAACGGCGCTTAGTCGAATTTTCAACGAAAACATAATTGGAAGGAAATTCAACAAGAAAGATTATTGAACAACACAAATTTCACCCAAATCTACTTTTTAAATAAGCACCCCCTCGATAAAGCGCCTTCTGCGAATAAGCGCCCACCCTGGAGCTTTGAAAACTAAATAAGCGCCCGGGCGCTTATTCGAGGCATCACGGAAAATGTACACATGAAAAATCATCTACAGATAGTGTGCTCAGTTGTTGCATCATTATAAGGTTTTAAGATCTTGTTTCTCTTTATTTCATTCATTTAATGATTCCAAGTAATTGCCATACTCAAATTCAGGTTACCCCGGGTACCAGAGTCTGAGCGAGGCACCCATGGTAAAATTTGGTGTGATGCAAGGTAGTCTTTTACGTCGTCTTATGAAAAGAATTATCCTCTCTTGATATCAAAGGAAAAATAAGAAATATTATGCTCAAAGGAAAAATAAAAACCAAATTGCTTGTCGAATGATTTTAAATTCTGAAAAAGACTTTAAGCACATTCAGGACTTTTTTGAGGATGGAACAAGCACGTTGGCTAAGAAATATGAAATAAATCTATTACTTCTATTCCCTGCCTTTTGCAAAAAATACCTATGCATAATGCGCCATTCCCGGTGAAACCTCTTCTGCAGTAACAATCATATGAACCAACTGTATTTATGCAATTGGCATTGGGATCGCATTTATGTGTTCCTCTGGTACATTCATAGAAATCTGAAAAAAATAATGTGAGTCAAAATCATTTCATTTTTATTCCTTTAGAATTTTAATCTTTAATTTTAACAACATTAACAATGAACAAAGTAAGGCTTCACTTGATTGTATAGAAATTTTATTTACCCTTTTTTACATTCTACTGATATGCTCGCTGTCAAAATTACTATTTGCTTTAAAAATTAGAACGAAGTACCAGCTGAAACCATTGCTTTGCTGGTGTTAGCACTTCACATACAATCACTGCCAAAATTACTTGGAACACTCGACACTTTTCGATGTGCATTTCAATTGTTCATTTATTTTCCCGAATACAACTACTTCCGCCCCCCTTTTCCCCCCAAAACAATGTTGAAAGTATAGAGGAATATCATAGAAGGCACACGAAAAGCGTACTCTACAATCCCTTCCTTTTTTCTATAGTAAATCAACATTGTTCTTAGGGGGAGAGTGGGGTGGCTGAATTTGCCTTTAAAAACTGACGTTAGTGTTTCAAGACTTTTGGCAGTGATTGACCAATTTTATTGACCTATGCTGCTTATGCATGATAGATGAAACATATCTAAGCTTTCACATTTCAAGCTTCTGTTTTCGGCTGCAAAAGTAACGACCATAACTTCTAAGAGAGTGAGAACAATTTATTCTCATCGATAAAGAATGCAGCATTTCGGTAATAGCATTTCGGTAAGAGTGAAGAATGCATTTCCGTAATAGCTTGCTTGGCAAAATACTTTAATGATAAATTTTTATCAGTTTTAACTTTAATTTTTAAAAATGGATTTAAAAAAGCAAACATTTGAGTCGTTCTAAAGCTATTTGTCTGACTTTCTTGAGAGAATACAACATCAGAACATATGTCACACATTTATACTCTTAGTAAGGAGTTTTTTTATTGCTTCTTAAGGTATGGTAACTTAAATCGTAAATTGATTTTTTTGAGTTGTCATATAAGGAAAGCGTAAATCTTTGGTACTTCTGGCTCAGAATCTTGTCTCTACAGGAAGTAACATTGTTAAAGTGAAAGAAAGTGAAAGTTTAACCATGTAAACTAATATGAGTATTCCTAGACCCTTTCAAGGGATTGTTTGTGAATCAAAACGACAATGACGGTGATGGGGAAGCGCATCACTCGTTGGTAATGAATTTCATATAGAATAGCCCTCCTACGAATCCTGCTAGGCGGGCACCCAATGTTCCTCTGAAAAATATTAAGATCAGCCTCGGAAAAACAAGAGCGCTATCAACTTCGACTTTGAAATAAGGAGAAGTCAAGTGATAAAACATTTCTTCCATTCATGTGCAAATAGAATATGCAGTCCTGCGACTATCGCCAGGAAGGGGTCGCCTAAGAGAGAGAGGGGGTAGGGGCTCCAGGAAGAAAGTCGCCTGAATAATCTTTCCAGCCCTGTTGGAAATTTGTGTAGGCCATCTGGCTGCAGAAGGGGAAAGTCGTGAGGCTATGGCATTTATTTGTTCAGTCTCATTAGCATAAATGAAGATTAGTATATGTAGATAAAAGCTATGAAAAAATTAACAGCATACCATTCTGATCATCGTCCACCTTGTCTTTGTTGAATCTTATATATCCAATAAGAAAGCCACGGTTACTGGAAGATGCAAATCGGAGAGCAGCCATGAACATGAAATATTGCTTCTTTACAATGTAGTATCGATGCGATGGCTCCCTGCACAGCGTGCCACTAACGCTCGTGAAATCAACTTGAGGTGGCGGTCCGTAATTGGACTCTGAAAGTAAAGAACAATCTTATAAAACGCTAAATTGAACTTTCATGTAGCTCTAAGAAGTGTTGTGTTGTTTATTGTTTTATGTATTGTTTTAGTTTTGTTGTTGTTGTTGTTTTCGCGCCTTTTATGTAGATTAGTTAGGCATGGGTGGAGGAACTTGGAGGAAGTTTAGAAGGGATCGAATTTTGGTAGTTGCTAGTTGGATTTTAGCTGAAGCTGAGTTGTCGTGGAGTCAGAATTTCCAATATTGTATAACTCGATGGATTTTGTCATGACCGCTATTTCACTTACTCGATGATTTGTAAATATTTAAAATATCGCTGTTACCTCGCCGTTTTATTTCTAGTCGTCTGTTTCGTGTTCGCCATTTCATTTCACGGACAAGGATCTATTACCATTACACTAGGAGAGGATTAATATAACATTTGGAGGTCCCACCGAGATGGGGGAAAATACATGAAATCGGAGATTTGTTTTTATCGTCCAGCAATATGCCAAAGTTTCCACAAATAGTGAAGTTTCGAGGGGATAATGAATCCAGTTTCTTACGCTGGTGTTCTCAGTTTGAGGCCCAACTTCGAGCTTTCAGCATCGCAGATGAAGACGATTTGTGGCGTGACTTATTGTTGATTTATACGGAAGATAATGCATTTACAGTGGCGTCTAAAGCCATTTCCAGTAACGGAAACATTACTTTTGCCGAGTTGAAACAGTTATTGCAAACAAGATTTTGTGGGCCGGACTATAAGAAGGCCTTGGAGCTAAAATTGAGAAATTTGAGATTTACGAAGGGTGCTAAAATCGCCCCATTTGTTCATGATCTTCGAAGTACGATTCATTGTATGGCTTAGATAATGAAGACTCAGTGGATTCAATAGCAATTAATCACGTTATGTCAATGCTGGATGAGACGATTCGAAAGGAAACAAAAGTTTTACAATTATCAGGAAATATCAAATTGGAGAGCATTTTAGAGTTGATTTCAGAGAAACTCGAAGGGAATATTTTAGGCCTAAACATTCCAGCTTTTCGTGGGGCAGCCCAAGCTTGCCAAAGTAACGATAACGGTGGAGATCGCCTTACACGTTTAGAAACCATGATGGCTAATGTTATGAACAAGTTGGATAACTTGCAGAAAACAAAGGCAGACCCCCCAAGAGAAAGACAGCAAATTTGTAAGCATTGCCAAAAGCCAGGTCATGATAAATCACGCTGTTTCAAATTAAAGAAATGTTTCAAATGTAATCAAATGGGCCATAAAGCAAAATTTTGCAAGGAAAAGCAGAGGAACCAGACAGCAGCATCACAAATTGAAAACTCTTCTGGAAGTGAAGTGTCACATCAAATTGTCCCAGAAAGGAGGACCGCATTCAAATTGCAGGTTGGAAAACAAGAACTTGACTTTTTGTATGATTAAGGCAGCCAACATTCTATAATACCTAGGAAAGTTTATGATCAGCTTGCTGATAGGCCACCTTTGTCACCATTCAATGTTTCCGGTATTGGTGTTGCAGGAAATAAATTTTGTATTGATGGAGTGGCATGATTTATTACAGCAAATGGCATGATTTATTACAGCATTATTACAGCAAATGGCATGATTTATACTTTGGAATATGAGCCAATTCTTGTCACTGCTGCAGTTGATACATGCATATTTGGAATAAAGACCGAAATGCGTTTTACAGAGACCAGAAGAAGCCAAGATAAGATGACATTCACATTTGTGACCCCTGAAAGCCAAGACATTACTATTGCCTATTACAGAGAGGTGGACTCTTAAAGTAGCCATGCATTTATTAAAGTTGCGAAAAATACAACAATTCAGGAAGGCGTTACATGGTTGAAAGGAAAGGTACAAAATTATTCAGCAGTCAGAAGCAGAATTCATGTTTGCAGGAGATGAATTTATGGAAGTAAATGATGTGAAAATTCCGCCTTTGTGCAATTGGACAAATGTAGGGAAGACTTTAAAAATTCCAATCACTAATCACTCAGGTAATTCTATCAAAGTGAGGAAAGGGCAAAATATTTGGGCGCTGCAGGAAATAGAAGCTGTTACGGCAAGTCTTACAACTGGTGCTACAGGAAGTTCATTAAAGCTGGATGAATCGAAATTGGAGACCCATCAATGAAAGAAGAAGTACAAACCATTGTGCAGAAATATGATGACGTGATGCAGCAGAAACCTATGAAGCCAACAGATATCCCAATTGTTCATGAAATCGCACTTTCAGGTGACAAACCAGTTTCTGCCCCCAGCAAGGCGCATACCGCACAGTCCAAAAGTCCAATTGTCCCAGTTGTCAAGAAAGATGGTACTTTGCGCATCTGCATAGACTACCGTCAACTCAATGCAAAAACCATACCGACTGTGTACCCTATTCCACGTACTGATGATGTTTTGGATTCACTAAATGGAGCAAAAGTCTTTTCAGTTTTGGATTTAAAGGATGCATACCATCAGATCGCTATCAAAGAGGAAGATCAACACAAGACAGCATTTGTTGTTCCATGGGAAAAGGTCAAATGGAAGAGGATGCCCTTTGGCCTAGTCGGAGCACCGTACACGCTATCTGCTGCTATGAGTTATGCATTAGAAGAATGATGACATTCTGATTTTCAGTCAGGATTGTGAGTCTCATGCTAAGCATATTTTTGAGGTTTTGAAGCACTTGTCAGAATGTGGGTTGCAGATTAATTATCGGAAGTGTGTGTTTGCTAAATCAGAGGTACCATTTGTTGGCTATATTTTGTCAGAGTTTGGTGTCAGACCAGTTGCCTCAAAAGTCCACGATATAGTTGATTTTAAGTTACCAACGTCAGTAGATTCTCAGCGCACCTTCTTGGGTATAGCTTCTTATTATCGGAAGTTTGTTGAATGCTTTGCTATCAAGGCTGTACCATGCATTGTTAAAGAAAGGAGCAGATTTTCTCTGGTCAGAGGATTGTGACAAGGCATTTGTTTACATAAAAAAGCAGTTGTCTAATGCAAAAATTCTTTCCCATCCAGATTTTTCAAAGCCATTTGCATTGCAGACTGATGCATCTAATGAGGAGATAGGTTTTGTCCTATCACAAGAGAAAGATGGTATGATGCAACCAATTCAGTTTGGAGGACGGGTCTTAACAGAGACTGAACGTCGTTATAGTGTCACAGATAAGGAGTTATTGGCAGTATTTTATGCAGTAAAGACCTGTGAAGTCTATTTTTTGGGACATTCTTTTATTGTTTACAGTGACCATAAACCTTTGTCATACCTGAAAGATTTCAAAGATGTGATGAACAAGAGATTCCGATAGATAAATTACTTGGAAGAAATGGGAGCTGTTCAGGGGCAGACTGGCTAATTTTTTTGGCCCGGGCAAATTTTGATCAAACCGGCCCACAATAATAGCAAATAAAAAACTCCTCGGCAAATGCAAGTAAATGTTAATCTGTAAGGAAAACAAGTTTTTAAATTCGGTTATTTTGTACATGGATGAATGCTGGTTAACATAACATGGTTAACAGAACATGTTAAATATGTCATTTGCTGACTAAATAGTAAATAAACAAAAATTTTAACTCATTGGTTTGACTTTGTTTCTAAATACAGTAACTTATCTGTTGATAATGTGATCGTTCTGGATGTCATCTAACAGGTGTTTTTCTAAGAACATTAACATGAAGGACGTACTCTGTTCTTTATATAATCTGTTCGTAATCTGTCCTGTAATCTGTTCGTATAATTCTAATGGTACGGTTGTCTGTCTCAGATGCATTGACAAAAGTGATCCAAAAATGAATAACAAGCGTGATTTCTGCTTCTATTACAGTTATTTTAAAGCACATTTTTTGCTACAAATCGTTGGCTTTAGATGAATTATTGAGCTTCTTTCATTTGATGTTGCCCCCCAATTTTTTTGGATGTCAAATTTCCTTGTCGGTTTAATGTTATTTCATTTGAAGAATATACAGAAAATGGACGATTTTCCTTCTTTAGTGGTTTTGGCTATTCACTGAGTTGCAAGAATCACATGGGCGCCACCTACGGGTAGCACTAAGATCCGTAATAGACAGACAAACAGACATACCATTAGAATTATACGACCTACCCCCTGATTAACTGCAACTTTAAACGCCTATAATTTTTTAACCGTACGTTGTAGGGCTATGGTTCTTTTATAAAGTCGGAATAACTTTGAAAGAGCAATCCAAAAATGTATTTAGATTTAAAATTCGAAAAGTTTACTTTTTCTGACCGTGATTTGTCGCTCGGTCTATTACGTCATTGTCACTTGACAGGAACCAATTTTCCAAAATGTCTCAACTAGGAATCTTGATCCCTTTTATATATACTTTCATTCTAAGCATTAAAATTTTTGGTTACCCAGGTCCTTAGATTGTAGTGATAATTCCCCCAAGTGAGCGTATTATGAGCGAATTCAATTCTGTCTAAACTTCGCCTAAAAAGACATCGGGGCAGGTTAAAATCTTATATATCGCATTGAAACAGGGGTATTACAGTATAATATGTCGCCAAAAAGGAAATACCGTCAAGAGAAAATATAACAAGATGTCAATAATATGTTTCCTGAATAAGTGTGTTTGGGTTGCGGTGACAATAATGAATTCATAATTATGATGGTTTTGGAGTACTCGCGTGTATATTCATTCTTTCCCACAAAGTCTCTGAAAATTCGAGGCAAACAGATCAACGCGTGGTTATACTTTTTTGCCTCGCATTCACTTTTTAAGCTTATTTATTTTTTTGCAATTTTATCAGCCGGCCCTTAAACCGACCGGCCCTTCGGGCGATCGCCCGAATAGCCCGACCAGCCAATCCGCCCCTGGAGCTGTTGTTAAATATTTGCCAGGTAAAGCCAATGTGATTGCAGATTTTCTGAGCCGTAATATACAGAACATGCAGCAAGCTAAGAAAAGTGTCAGTATGAATGCATTTACCCTTGAATCTTTACATTATGATGTTCTTGATTTGGTTTCAATGCAGCGGAAAGATTCAGACATACAGCAAGTGATAAATTACAAGTCAAGTACTGGTGCAGAGAAGGGTGTGGTTCCAGCAGCGTATAAAACACATGTTCAGAAATTGTTCATAGATGAGGAGGATAATTTGTTGAAATTTTGTTATCATGGAGGTCAGTGTATTATGATGCTTTTGTCCCTGAAGTTTTGTCACTGTCTCATAATGAGTGGAAATCTGGTCATTTTGGCATTTATAAAACACACCGTAGTGTCCTTGAGAATTTTTGGTGGCCTGGCGTGCACAGAGATGTTTGTGATTTTGTGAATAATTGTGTTATTTGTATCAGGGTGAAGCGTTTAGGTAAGAGACATGGGTGCATGGGGCAACGAGAATGGCCAAAGCAGCCCTTGGACTTGATGTCAATCGATTATTTGGTTGAACTACCTGTCACAGCAAGAAGGCACATACATTTGTTGGTAATCAATGACCATTTCTCAAAGTTTATTCAAGTGTACCCAGTTAAAGATCGCACAGCCTCGACAGCAGCCACATGTGTCTTGGATTATTGTCTGAAATTTGGATTTCCATGGCGTCTTTTCTCTGACTGAGACCCTGCATTTGAATCAGAGTTGTTCCAGACTTGGATGAAAAAGCGAGGACTGAGCAAGGTCCGCACCACTGGTTACAACCCTCGTAGCAATGGACTGACGGAGCAGTCAAATGTTATTGTGAAAGATTACTTGACAGCTAATGTGAATGGAAAGAGTAATAACAGACGAGATTGGGACACATGGACACGAGAGCTTGCATTTGCTTATAGTACATATGTTCATTCTTAAACTAGCTTTAGTCCTGTTGAGCTGATGTTTGGCAGAATTTATTTGGATGAATTTAGAGTTCCAACTGACATGCTGTTTGGGACGTTTTCTCGAGGTAAGAATTTTTCATTGTCCATAGAGCAATTCAGTGAACAGTTATCTTCAATGTATGAGCTTGCAAGACAGAGAATGAACACAAGACAGAAAGTTAGTGCTAGTTATTATGACAAGAAGATTACAGATGACAAGTTAGAGCCTGGAGAACTTGTTTACATATATCAGCCAGCAAAGAGTCGCAAAAAGCTTGAAATCGAATGGGACGGGCCATAACAAAATTGTGGTTGCAGCCCATCCAGTTTATTATGTGAAAGTGAATTGGAACAATGTCAAGACAAAGTGTCTGACACGGGACAAGTTACGAAGAGTGGGAAAGAAGAAACTTGGTGGTTCTGATGAAACAGTTGCAGCTACGCCTAGCAATTCTGATGAAATAATATCAGATAGGGGCAATGTACAAAGAGAAGAAGCAGAGACACCCAACAATTCTGGTGAAACAATACCAGATAGGGGTAGTGTTCAAGGTCAGCCCAGCAATTCTGACGAAACAATATCAGATAGGGGCCATGTCGTTGATGAAGTGAATTTTGATTCTGAAGACTCAGATGAAGAATTGTCAGAAGGTGAAGAAGATGTCCAAGTTGACGAAAGAAGGGGAAGGGGAAGGTATAATCTGAGACCTAACCCAGAATTGGCAAGGTGGTATGAAGGATACTTAGCCCAATATTTGACTGTGTGTTAAAAAAACCTTTTTAGTAGATTGACAAGACATTTAGAAACATTTGCTTAATTCGCTGAACATGTTATGTTAAAGACATTTATCACCTATATATATCTTTTCGTGTTCGCCATTTCATTTCACGGACAAGGGTCGATTACCATTACACTAGGACAGGATTAATATAACAAGGATAATACTGTGGGGAGATGGGGTTTTTATTCTGAGAATTCAGGATAATGATTTCATCACGCTGTTATTGAATCATCGGCACTGACATGGGCATTTTTGTTTGAAGTTGTTATCCTAAAGGAGTGTGTCACACAGGATAACCAACGTTGCAACACTCAAATTGAGTAAATATTGTTTGGGAGAAGGGGCGTCACTTACGGGGGCATGGGGGACGGTTAAGCCCCCAACCACGAAAATAGAGGTGTTTGGCAGGGCAAACTGATTTTCATGGCAAATGTTGTCTGTTTTGATGGGGATGCTTTGTTGTTTTTCTTATAACTGTAACAAGAAAGAAGGTTATGCTTGACATTTGTCTACTCCAAAAGTAAAATGATACAGACTACCAGTGACACGAAATATGAAATGCAAGCGTGAGCTAGGGCTGGATGGTATAGATTTCCAAATAGATTCTGGTTTCTTTAACTGAGGACTGGAATGTTACACCGTTGGTCAATATTTGCGTCTTATTTTTAGAGCCATACAGAAAAGACAAGTAATGCTTGCAAGAGTGAAAGAGTTGGTCGGTGAAAGAGTGCGGCCAATGTTCGGCCATCTCTTTCATTGAGGCTCTAGTACCCAGGGTGTTTCAATGTCCTAAAAATCATAGCTCTTCAATGTCCTAAAAAGCATAGCTCTTCAGTGCCCTAAAAACTACCATCGGAAGCTAGGTAGCAAAGAACATAATGCAAAAAATACAAAGCAATACAAATTTGCTGTTTATTACCGATCCATCATTCCTCATTTTGTTTATTTATATGGAGTTGCTTTTCGTTAGAGCTTTGCATTTTGAGCCTCGAAGAATCCACTCATACCATTAGGCATCTATTCTGCTGTTACGTGTTTTATGGAAATTATCGCCAAGCGTAATTAAATATTTTGCAAAGCAGCATTGTATAAGGAACCTTTTGAAAGTTTATTATTGAATAATAATTTGCTATTACTCTAATAACGGCTTTTAATGCTTCATCTACAGTTCTGAAAATTTTTGTCATTTGTCCATTAGCTAATAAAAGGTTAATTTTAATGGCTCGAACTCACCCCATACTTCAATATATTCTTGGCACTTAAAGTTTCTTTCCTCCGGGTATCTATCGGCGCTATAAAAGTCTAAATCCATAACTGACAGTCTTGAGTTTTGACGTTCTTCCAAATGTATCAACAACCAACAACCGCTGTTACTCTTTCCATCGTATTCACTTGGCCATTTGTTTGAAAAGTAATTCGTAGAATTATCATCAATGGAGCTAGAAGATATTATTTGTTATTTTAATACGCAAGCAAGATAGATTTAACCAAATCAAGCACTTTGTATATTTGAAGAGGACCATTAATACCCTTTATGCGTAGGGAAATGACCCATTAAACTAAAATATTACCCCCGGCTAGCCCCCGCTCAAATTTTTAAGAGAAAGGTCTATAGTTACTTTGTCGTTCTTGTTCCCGGAGAAAGGGTGCTACAAAGAAAGGTTTCTTCTTTTCGATCCAACTTAATTTGTGAAGTACCTGAGTTTCAAATTGAAAAAGAGCAGATATTCAGAAACATTATAATTATCACAAATTTGCTCATCTTCCCAGTCTAAACACAAATTGGTATCGAAGCACGATTTTGGGTGACTAAGCATGTCTTGTAAATGGTTCTTTGAGCTATTTCCGAATTGCAAAAAAGCTTAGATGCAACTTGATTAAGAATAACAAATGCCTCTAACGCTTTTCCTTTATGATGCACTTATGAGGCATTAGATACATACAAAAAAGCCCTTTTTATTATCAATTTCATAGCAGTCTTAATCTACGTATTTATTCAAAGCATATTGCCGTTCATCATTCAATACAAGAGAGGTACGGTTATTCAATACAGCTACAAAGCTTTGGTATAAGAAGAGGTTAAAGAAATGCATTCTTGAAAATTTGATTTTAGAATTAGCATGGACAATCTGAAAAAAACCACATAAAATTCTTCTGGGTAAATAAAATTCATATTTGATGAGAAAATGCAACATGAATACGGACCCTTTTTCTGTCAAGTCGTTGCAATTCTATCTTCGCTTATAAATCATCGAAAAGACCAGAATGACAGTTACCCTTGGAAAATTTGATAATTTTCATTGGCCAGCTTTAAAAGTTTTAACTGATAGAGCAAAACGTATTCAAAATTGTTCTCTTCATCATGAAAAGCATGTAGTTAAAAAATTATGATATTAAGAGCCTCTATTGTATTCTTTACAGATAATGAGCAAGTGATATTTAAATTTTTTCCTTATAGATAGTGAGTATCATTTAATGTCTTGGGAAAATGTATTTTGTCCGCTACGACGTCATGAATTAAGTCCCTTGTATTTATTTGCAGAATCTTTAAACGGTCTTTAGATGATCAGTTGAAAAGGTATAAAACAAAAGTAAAGTATTTTGCCAGGTTCTTTGGGATTGTTTTCCGTCAAACCTGTCTGCAAATCTCGTCTCTATATTAAGTGTCTATCCTTCCAGACAATCTGTTAAATAGAAGCTATGGGAAAGGGGTACAGCCACAAAAAGAGCTAATAAATGTATGTGACTCTGATCCTCAAACTGCTTTTACACTTAAAACTGCTCTTTATTATGGAATGGTGTCCCAGATCTAAGAAAAGTGTTTCTTTTGTCAGAAAAGTAACCCATTCTATCAAAGGGAGCGCATTTGGTATAAAAATACCCCTTCTGTCAGAAAGTTACCATCACTTGTTAATGAAGGAAAATCGCTCACCAAATCTTAGTAATACAAAAATGATCCAGATTCATTGGCAGTGCTTACATTGCATGTTAGTGTCATATCTAAAGACTGTGTCCGACAGCATGAGACTGTTAGCATTTTTGTATATAAAAAGATCTGATATACTCCCAGCGTCTATGTCTACAGGTAAATCATGATGGTTATTGCAATAATTCTAACAAAACATTACGAAGTGATTTTGTCACTTACTTGCATAACGGATCTCCAACCAAAGGATCAGCTGTCTTATTCCTAAGTCTGTATTTGAAAGAGAATCCATCTCCGGTCGTCTCATTGTTGCTTTTGAACGTCAGATTTGCAAAGCCATCATGTGAATACATGTTAAATGGTTTTTCAATGGCGTTATTTGAACAAAACTTACCAATGCCGTAGCCTGATCTAAAGCAAAATAACCTTTATATCAACAATAAATTACATGTTAGGTATAAACCTCGAACATTATAACATATTTTCAAATGGCGTCCAATGTATACTGAATATATATATATATATATATATATATATATATATATATATAAGATACTCAATAAAAAAACAATTTGGTTGACGTTTCGCTATAAGCTTCTTCAGAATAACTAACACATACATCTGGAGCGTAAAATAAGGAATACGAAACAAAAGAACAAAAGGTAACACATTTTACAAGCAAGAACAATAATAGCTAATTTAACAACATAATGATAGTTTCTAAGCACAGCCGGAGGTGAGAAAAGATGGATAAATACAATAGATCAAAGAACAATAAAACAAGTGTGATAGCAGATGGTATAGCATGCAGAAAGGTCCAAGGAAAAGGAACGGTAAATGCTGTCTGTCCCAAAAAATTAAGAAACTAGGTAAATAAATACAATTAATATAGAATGCAAAGAAAAGAAAGAAAGTAGATAGAAAATGTGGAAAAAATTAAAAAAAGTAACAAGGAGAAAATAAACAAAAAGATAGGAAATAAAAATAAAACTATGTGTCAACTAACCTAATATTAAGGCCCCGGGGCGCAAAAGTTTCTAACTTATACTGCCAGAAACTTTCACATATCCTATATATATATATATAAAATTACATTTCATATATATATATATATAAAAAATCAAAAATTTACTCAAAGCTATCCAAACGATAAAGCAAAGTTGAAGTTGAAGTTTTTCACTGCAACAACAATCTTCTCTTTCAAAAACATACTAGCAGCTGTTCAGTGGCGGATCCAGGGGGTGCAAAGGGTGCTTGAGAACCGGTCAGATTTTCAAAGTACTGTTTCTTGTACCTGTTCCTGTGCGTGTTTCCGAAAAAAGCTAAAGATTTCTACTGATTCGATGTTTTCATCTATTTTGCATGAAAAAAACCTTTTATCCAAATAATTTTCTTTTGTCTCGTTAATGTTTACAATCGTGGCATATTCACCGGAACGAAATTCTGGTAGAATGCAAGTGCTGACCAATTAGATTGCGCATGACAAAATCATTATCCAATGAAATCCCATTATTCCATGCTATTCCGAGCACCGGTGGGTTCTTATATTAGATTTGTCACTATAAACTGTGAGTTGTAGTAATATGGAAAGAAATACTCTCTTCGAATAACAACAGGATCTGTAATTCTAATGTGTATCTAACGTGCTCACATGCTTGCTTATTCTAATTAATCCCTTTTTACCCCTGTGTCCAATACATAACATACGTCATTACTACATCACCCCCTTTCTTTTAAAACAAAACAACACAACAGAACAATAGGAATATGAAAATATATAAACGTAAATGTTACCAAATATTAATAAGAAAGTCCATGTCCATATCGCACTGGTGCTCTTCTTGTTCTGTTTGATCTCCTATATTCACATGCTGGTTCAGGTTCATTATTACGCTCCTCTTCGCTACTATAATCCATTTCATTAACGTCCGGAATCTGCTTAAAGTGCGAAACATTTCGTGTAATACGATGTCGTTCTTTGTTTTCTGCAACAACTGTCGTGCCCTTACGAGCAATCACTTTGTATGGAGTAGTATTGAATTTGGGCATTAATTTCTGCTTCTTCTCTTGTTGTACAAGAACAGTATCTCCAACCTTGATCGAACTTTCTTTGGCATTGCGATGTAAATCTGCATAGGTCTTATTGTAGATACAACGCTTCTGCTCATTATCTTTAGCTTCTTTATGCCGATTAACAATAGTGCGAGGTTTTAATGTTGGTAATGCTCCACGAACTGTTCTGTTAAACAACAATTCGGACGGTGGTACCTTGGTCGTACTATGTAGCGTTGTTCTATATTGCAATAGAAACCTGCATAGCTCTTGTTGCCATTTCTTTCCTTCTACAACTGCTGTCGTTAGCGCTTTAGCTAATGGTTGCATGAAGCGTTCGACTTCCGCGTTACCTTGTGGCCATTTTGGAGTAGAGCGAGTAAACTTTACACCCAACAATTTCAAATAACGAAAGAACTCATCTCCATTGAAAGGTGGTCCATTATCAGACGTTAATTCAAACGGTATACCATGGACGGCAAAAATCTTATCCAACTTGGGAATCACTACAGAACTTTTGGTCGAGCGAACAATTTCCACCTCTGGATAGCGGCTATATCTGTCTATGACAACCAGAAGTAGCTCGCCAGATGGAAGTGGACCAAGAAAATCAATGTTAATCTTTTGCCAAGGTGCACTCGGCATTTCCGTCATGTGGAGTGGTTCAGGAGGACTACTTCTCCCGACCGCTTGACAAGGCACACATTTTGTGATAGTCTCCTTGACAAGTACATCAATGCCAGGGAACCAGATCTTTTCACGTAGAAGTGCTTTGGTTTTCTCTAATCCCTGGTGACTTACATGGGCTAAGTCAACTGCTTTCTTGTGCAAAGATTCAGGTATAACTATCCTGGCACCACGTAGTATTATATTTGACGAATCAATAGATAGTTCATCTTTGACAGGTCGAAAAGGTTTAACAGTATCAGCATCCCAACGATTGAGACGAATTGCAGCTCGAAGTGCTTTTAAAACTCTGTCTTTATCCGTCTCTTCGCGAATTTCAGAAAGAGTCATTGACTTCGGAACAGCGTTTTGTACTATAAAATGTACATATTCATCAGCAATCTTGCTTTGTTTTCCAGTGTTAGACGTAGAAGGGTGTCGTGATAGAAAATCAGCCTGATTAGTTGGTCCTGGTTTATACTTGACTTGGACATTGTACGGCTGTAGGCGAAGAACCCATCGCTCAATTCTAGCACATGGTTTTGAGTTTGCCCTCCCATATATCATTTCTAAAGGCTTATGATCCGTTTCCAGTGTAAATGAATGACCATAAAGATATAAATGGAAATGTTCTAAGGCCCAAACAATGCTAAGAGCCTCCTTCTCCGTTTGAGAGTACCGACGTTCTACGTCTGATAACGCTCGGCTAGCATATGCAACAACTTTACCTTCTGCATCACATGCGGATCTTTGAGAAAGTATTCCCGACAGTCCCACTGGACTGGCATCAACTGTTAACACAGTGTCCTTCTTAGCATCAAAATATGCCATAACTGGTGGTTTAGTGATAGCTGCTTTCAGCTTGTCGAATGCGGTTTGGTGCTTTTGTTCCCATGTAAATGTGACACCTGTTTTTGTCAATTCACGGAGAGGGGTAGCAATGGTGGCAAAGTTGGCGATATATTTGGAACTGAATGTCACCATGCCTAAGAAACTGCGCAGTTCTGATACATTTTGTGGTATAGCAGCATCAATAACATCCTGTGTTCTGCGAGGGTCAGGTCGTGTACCTTGCTCTAAGAAAATCTGTCCAAAGAACTCTAACTCAGTATTCAGAAAACTGCATTTCGACTTGTTCAAGGTAAGACCTTTCTCTTTAAGGCGTTTAAGGCAATTTTCAAGAGCCTGATCATGCTCTTGCCGTGTACTTCCAAAGACTAGGATGTCATCGGCTATATTCTGAACACCAGCCATTCCTTGCAAGTGTTGCTGTAACGTATGTTGAAACAGTTCAGCGCTTGCATTAGTTCCGAAGTTCAAGCGGGTATAACGATATAGTACGAGATGAGTGCTAAAAGTAGTAATGAAATGACTGTCTGGGTGCAACTCTAATTGATGATAAGCCTGGGACAAATCAAGCTTGGAAAAGAATCTAGCACCATTCAATTCTAAACTGATATCAGCTACTGTTGGAATCAAGTGACGTACACGTTTGATTGCAGTGTTTGCTGCGCGCATGTCTACACATATTCTGACACTGCCATCTTTCTTGGGTTCTGCAACTATTGCCGACACCCATGGCGTTGGTTGAGAATCAGGCACCTTTTCAATAATTCCTTGACTTTCAAGCTCTTTTATGGCTACCTTGACCTTTTTCCTAATGTGGAAAGGAATTCTACGTTGTGGCTGAGCAACTGGAGGTACACTTGAGTCAATGTTCAATTTAACCTGGTGATTCTTTAATTTACCAAGGCCTTGAAACACAGAAGAATACTGTTGTAGAATTTTGGCTAGACTGTCGTCCTGGAGATTTTGGCTTTGTACTGCATTTAATTGAAGCTTGATAAGGCCTAATTCCTGTGCAGTCTGAAGTGAGAGTAAACATCCGCTGTCCTTCCCTCTTACCACATAGACTGTTCCCACAGTGCATTTCTTCTTGGTTTCAATAATGCTTTCGAATTTTCCAAGAAACTCAACTGGTATTTTACTCTGATAAGGATATGCCTTTGTGCTTGTGCGCAGGAGCTTAACATTTTTTAGATTTGCAAAAGTGTCAGCATCAATCACATTAATTGTAGCACCACTGTCCACAAGAGCTTTGAATTTGTGACCTGCAACAGTAATCCATACTTGTGGTGTGCGTGGACAGGCTGAAGACATTGCGTACATATATTCATCCTCAGAACTAGAAGAATACTCAGTATGTTTGAGTGGGCGAATTCTTGGTTTGTGCTTTCGATGTGATCTGCCTCCTTTGTTTCTGCGATCTGTTTTGTCTCTTTTACTTCTACAAACGACCGCGAAATGACCTTGTTTACCACAGCTTCCGCATTGCTTTCCTTTTGCAGGGCATTCCCCTTTGTGAGGGTAGTCCCCTCCGCAAGTATAGCATTTCTTGCCTTCTTTGTTGACAGATTTAAAAGGATGTACAACAGCAGCAGTATTCTCATTAGATTCAATCTCTCGAGTTTGAAAGGAACTCATTTCTTCACGTCTTCCATCCAGTAACATTTGTTTCAGATCGTAGGTAGGGTCACGTAGTGCCCTTCGACGAATTCGCGAGGAAATACCACCAACAACAATTTGCTGTTCGATTTCGAATTCTAAATCTTGAAATTCACATGCAGTAGAAAGGGCTCGTAAACGTGTATGATATTGATCTAATGTTTCCCCTTGCTCTTGCTTGGTCTCACGAAACCGATAAACCTCATAACAGCGATTCTTTTGAGGCTCGAAGTGGGTGGTAAGCTTCGTCTTCGCTGTATCGTAATCATCAGCATTCCCTACATCTTGTAAACGTTGAAAAATTTCCCGAACACGACTGCCTGCCAGGTAAAGTAATAAAGCGCGTTTCCTTGTTGCATTGGCAATTCCACTGGCAGTTAAAAACATTTCAAAATCTGCAAGCCATGTCCGCCATTTTAAAGCAAGACTCGCTCCTAGTTCAGCATCGGGCTGAAACTCGGGCACTGGAGGTATTTGGAAACCGTGAGCCATTGTCGCGTTTACCTCGTCGTCATTATAAACTCTGTGAGTTGTAGTAATATGGAAAGAAATACTCTCTTCGAATAACAACAGGATCTGTAATTCTAATGTGTATCTAACGTGCTCACATACTTGCTTATTCTAATTAATCCCTTTTTACCCCTGCGCTACGGCCTAAGATACCTATGTATCAGGTAAGTGGTAACATACAATCTTTGTTAAAATTGCAAGACATCAGAAAATATTATATGGATCTGGTTGAGGAATAGGGTAACATGTCAGGTTGCTTTTTATTAGCCATTTTATTAGTTGATTTGAGTTTCGCAAACGTGAATAAATGTTGTTTGCTTTGAGCTAATTGTGATACTACAACAAAGCGTTAATTGAAGTGTTGGGTATGGCATAGCAGCCCCCTTTTGTGATTTTTTCTAAAGGAAGATAGTTCAAAGAGGCGTGTAAATGCCTGTCAAAGTTCTTGGAACATCAACAAAATTTTTCACATAATATATAAAATGAAAGAGAAGTAAAATTCATTTTTTAAGAACACAATTCCAAGCTGCAAAAGATAATATTCAACCAGTGTAACGAATTTCATAAAACATTTTCTAAGTTTTTATGAAATACTTGCCTTATTTGTACAATACTTTCCTTGCTTCTATAGCCACTCTTGTTTACCGTATTCTATCATATTTTTGGCCCCATTAGAGAGTGGGGCTTATTGAGAAAAAGATAAAAATCCACCAATAAAAAATTGAGCTTTGGAATTTAAGCAATGATTGTTTTTAGAAAAATCAATCACACCAGTTATGGTCATAATAATTACAAGATTTCAATTTCATCCGAGTCGAAATCCTAGTAGATTTGCATAAACACTGGTGTGGCATCTTGAATATTTAAATTGTCAATACCTTCAAATGTATTTTTATGTAATTCTGTCAGTAGTTGCAGAAGATTTTCCAAATTGAAACAGCATAGGTTTTATTCAATATAATTAAACTGATTTAAACTATATTTAAACTATTGTAAAGATTTGTTGGTCTCTATATGTTTTCAAAATATTTGGGGGGCGCTCATTGAAGAGTGGGTGCTGATTAGAGAAATTTTGCTCAAAAGGGGGGCGTGCATTAGGGAGGGATGCTCGTTGTAAAAAATACGCTACTTAACATCGCCACCGAAAATGGGCGTGGTCAATTTGTTGGGTGTGGTCCCTTTAACTGAGCACCGGTCAAAAAATTTCCTGGATCCGCCCCTGCTGTTATGCAGCTATTTATATCTGTCAATCTTTAGATAGCAAGTTTGTCATATTAGGAGTATCTAGCTGTAAAATAGGCCACTGAATTTATTAGATAAAGCGGAATCCCGATATAACGAATTTTGAAAGGAACCAAAAAATAGCTCCTTTCCTCGGGAGTTCATTAAACAGGGAGAAAACAATTTTAGGTACTTTCGTAGAACACGCCTAGAGATACCTTTGGTGGGCTTGTTAAGACTCTCTCCAACTTTGGTGCACATTTTACGCCAAAAAACCATACTGGAATCAAATATTTTTAATGTTTAGCCATCGAACATAAAAACGTATATGTTCCTCTTTTAATTTCGGACCAAAAGATTGGCAAAGCTGGTATCACTTCACTTCTAGTTGGCGGGGTAATGACGTCTTCGATTACTTCACATTCTTATTTGTCTCCTCTCATTGCCAATGTCTGATATGTAGAAAGTGCTCGTTAGTGTCATTGTACTCATTCACAGTATCTTCTGACGCGATTAAAATTTAATCTCGTGTTCTGAGTCTATCAGCCAGTATTTAAAATGTATTATCAGCATGCTTTGCAAATGACAATAATGATTTACTCCAAAAGAATGTGATAAATCAACACTGAAAATAGTTCAGTATAAATATTAGATAAAATATTTTTGAAAAGTTCATTATATAAAGGGTACTTATGACCCAGAATTTGGTTCGTAATATCGAGAGTTCGTTGTATCCGGGTTTCCTTATACCGAGAGAAGTTTTAAGGGGTTTGCTAGGCAGAAATCAAGGGACCAGACAATTAGTTCGTTATATTGGGAAGTTCGTTATATTCGGGGGTTCGTTATATCGGGATTCCACTCTAAGTCCTATATAAAAACTGTATTTCTGCACTGTAGATACTTAAGATATTTACCTTGTTAGATTTACCTCTACATAATCCTCTTTGCAATCAGGCAATTTTCCTTTGATGTCGAATGTGGCCCAAATGATCTCCAAAAAGAACTGACTGCTATTAAGGAAATTAGACGGCGCGATGTTGATAACACAGAATTCATTGTTTGTGTAAAACTTGTAAGAGAATAACTGCGAGGTTGTTGTTGCGTTTAGATACTGGTTGCTGCAAAGTGCGTACGCGTGTCGGAACAGCAAAACAGCTATGAAACATGGGCCTACAACTCCCATTTTGATTTGAATTCAAGTTGCCTTAAATTTGTTTTTCCATTAACCTGGACATAACTTTAAGACTTCCGGGTAGATTCTTGTAATGCATGCATGAATAATAATACTCAGCAAAATTCGAATCGTTATTATCTTTAACGGTTAATCCTGATGGGAAGCTGTTATTGGTCGTACTGAGAGAAAAGCATCATAATGCTTTTATCTACTAGTGGTTTAACCAAATTGCTTAAAGTTACTGTCACAGCATAGGTTCCAAATCTTTGATTGGCTGAGCGACAAAAATTCTGCATACCTCATTGGCCAATCAGAATTCAAGAATATGACAACAATCGTGCCTCGCAGCTAAATTTAGGCCTATTTTGGACTTTTTTACCACTACCCACAGAAAAAAAATGGTGTAAAATGTGCTGAAACTGCCGCTGTACTCAGGTAAGATTCTTCTGCGATCGTCAGTTAAGAAGGCTTGAAACTGTCCCTTTCAAACCCTTATAAAATCTAGAGAGGAGGGATAACATAAAAATTACAGTTTTTAATCTTAGAAAAGGAATAATTTAAAGTAGTAATATTTGCCAGTATTTATTGATTTTTCGGTTATCAGCTAGAGGCATATAGAGGTCACAATGTATGCAAATGTCATAAAGTAATATCGGTTCAATCGAAGATAATATTTTGGAATTATCAAGAAAAAAAGAAGGAGCATAGCATTCTTACAAAAATTAGAAGGGGTCTGAGCCCCTCCCCCTGAGCCCCCTTGAGTCCCCCTCTTTTACAGCCCTGCCTAAAGCCCTTCAAAATGATTTTGAAAGTCTCCTAAATTTTTTGCAATGAAATTGATCAGCCTCTTAAATTATAAGTTTTTAGCATTATTTCGATATAATGACAGATTACCGCCAGCGTCTGGCTCAAGACATGTTATGCGGACACTACCGCGACAATACAAGAATACAAGAAATGCGATTTCAGAAACAAAAAACAACATAAACTATACGTGAGGCTAAAATTATTCGAAAAAATAAGAAACGCCAGGCTGAAATTATGGCCAAATGTTCTTATGAAAACGTGTACTCATGACATTATTCAGGACATTATTCTAAAGTGGCAAGCCAGCCAATTCCTTGGATATCTCTTATTGTATGTGTTCGAAGAAATGATGATGGAGGGACACGAATTTGAGTCGATATGAGAGAAGCCAGAAAACAACTATTAGAGAGCGACACATAATGCCAACTTTAGATGATTTCAAGGCAGCCGTGAATTGATTAGAATATTCTTAAAAATAAATTTGAAAAAGGCATACTACCAAGTAGAGCTAGAGCCAAACAGCCGTTAGAATGTTGGAATGTGTTTCTAAAACATTTATAACTACATGTACATTTGTATTTAATTTGGAGATTCATCGATACGAGAACGTATCGTATAGAAAGGTATTACCATACAAGGGCCAAATTTCTTCCATTCACATACCAAAATTCCAAAATTCCAACATTCCAGCATTCTAGCATTCCAGCATTCAACATTTTAACATTCCATGTTTTTGTAAAAGAAAAGACTTTCTGAAAACGCAGCATGTTCATAGATAGACTTGGTCTATCAGCTTTTTCACGTAATTAATGTCTAACATACTACTTTGTTGGTGAATCGACTGGCAGTGTCGCAATTCTTCGGATCTTACTACCAGATCTTAGAAAATCTTTAGTTCCTTATGGTTTTTCTTGGATTTTTGTATAAAAAAAGACCTTATATCAAATAATTTATATCGTGCATACATTGCATTAAGTATGTACACAACACAATGTTGAGTATGACTCACTGCAACTTTCATTATCAGATGCTCTCGCTCTTATTCAATAGATAGGCTTATAACGTTGTGATTAAGGTCATGTCAAATTCATTACATGGAAATTTCTTTAAACGCTTTTTCTTGCTTTTTTCTTTATAGTTACAGTGATAGCTCTGCAGCAGCAAGCTTCTACTCTTCTGGTTGGCCCTACGGTTACTACGCGAGCAACTCCCCGTGTTGGAGAACCTATTACGCAGGTTCAAAGGCAGTGCGTGTGGCTGTGATGGACGTTTCATTATACCGAAGATCGTATAGCTACTGTTACACAACTGATCCTCATTATGATATCAGGGGTAAAAGGATTTTGATGTTATATGCACTAGTCTTGGCTGAAAGCCTTTAATTTAATTGTATTTTTGTTTCTTTCTCAAGTACGAAAGTATATTTTGCCTCCGTTCAAACAATACCAGAAAACTATTGTCGCCTTCTATTTTCCTATCAGATCGGGCTTCTGTTGAAACTACGCTAAAGTTGTCTTTTATGCAACAGTTCGATAATCATCATAAAAAAGGACTCCCCAGTGCAGAGTTAGATTATTTCACCGGGAAAGCTCAATCCCATTTAATGTACTTGTCTTTCAGTCGTTTTGTTCTTTCATTTATATTTCAATACTTCTACTTCTAGCATCGTCTTCTCTCTACTCAACTTCAACAGACATAAGATCTTACGCATCTTCTGTAAGCGGGAGGATCTGCGGAACCAAAACTCCAACTATGTATACTGCAAAAAACAATTACGTTTACCTGTACTTTAACAGACCAGAGACAAGAACTGGGTATCGTGGCATCATGGTTGGCTATATGGCTTATAATGAAATTGGTAAGGAGCATTTCTCAGTACAGACATTTATCTCGATGTGTTTTTCATTCAGACATGATTTGATCGCAGCCCAGATTCAAAAACTGCCGCAAGGTTACCTTTAAAGTTTCCATTGTCCTTTGGTGCATCGTATATCTACGTGCTTCAGTGTCTTTTTGACGAGGCACAAGACTAGGGGAAGATGACTTTTTAAACTGTACGGGGAAATACATTTCAGGAGTAAGTATAAAAAGCCTCGTGATATAAAATCAGTATTTAAGTCAAATAACACTCAAATTTGTGAAAGACAGCATAAACGACTCAAATTTAGAACACTCTGGCATTTAATTGGACAATCTTTACTGGGCTAATCTTTTAAACAGTAACATGTTAGACATAAAAAAGGTACGGAAAGGAGATAAGAAATTTCTCATTTGCTCCTCGAGTTCCAATCGCAAAAGAAAAAAATGTTTGTAACAGAAAAATACTGTTAACAAAGATTAAGAATTGTTTGAAAAGGTTTGTAATTTCTGTTTTCAGCTCGCCATGAATGTACACTCGGAACCCATGCATGCGGTGCTAATGCCTATTGCAAATATACGACTGGCTCATTCCAATGCATATGCCAAAGTGGATACACAAGGACAGGATCTACTTGCAGTTTAATTGGTAACGTACATGCAATTACGAATACCAAATTAACATACCGGTCAACTTCTTGTGCACATATGGTTTGATAGTGATGCTACAATTACCCATAACCAACAAAACAATTTTTTTGGATTGAAATTAATCAATACTTGAATTTATAAATGATATTTCTCTATTAATCTTTTGAATTAAAGTATTTCTTTATATATCTTATCATGAATAAAAATGAAAAATTTCGTGCATTCACCCATGATAATTAATCATCATTTTAATTAGAAGTCTAGTTAATTGAAGTAGGTTGCAAATATACAAATTTAGAAAATAATTTTTCATAATTTGACGACTACAAATGGAAAAAAGATAAAGTTAAAGAAATAGCTGTCCAGTGTGATGCATTCAAGATATTTGTCAATAGTTGTCAAATTTCTTGCAGCACATCATTCGAACATAGCTTTGAAAATTATTCCTAATACGGTAAATTTTCAATCAACATTAAAGCATTAAAATCTTATTTATATATAGTATATTGGTTTTATTTATTGATCAAGTCAAAAATGTGCGAAGGCAATCTTAAATCGACCGAAGAACGGAATGGATACTTTAGTTAAAGCTAAATTGTTTAAATTCATAAAACACTAAGCTGATTATTAGCTTTTTGTCATGCCATTGAATTTCTAAATTCCAGATGTTAATGAATGTGTTCAAGGAACCCATAATTGCAATTCTAATGCTTATTGCACAAATACGATCGGCTCATACCGATGCACTTGCAAAAGCGGATACACAAGAGACGGGTCTAGTTGTGTGTCATCAGGTAATGCTTTTTATGCATAGCTTGTATTGTGTATTTTGACACCTAACATTGTACAATACTGGAAGCTCACTTTAATGACAGAATTATCAAACGTCTCCAATTGAGCTCAATTTGAGAATTGAATGTTTTCGAATGAGTTCAAGTGTCATCTTAAAGTGGTATTGTTTTTACTTGTGTTCCTCTGGAACTAAGATTCTGCATCTATTTCTTTGCAGTTTTTTAGCCATCGTTAAAAAGTACAAACTATTACTAATTTATTCTTGTAACACTATATGTTAAAACAGGAAATTTTCTAATAAAGATACCTTTTTCTGTAGGGGACCGTGCAGCTAAAACTGGAATAATAATCGGTGTTGTCCTCAAAATACTTATCATCAACACAATAGTTTGCTGTCGCAAGAAATCTCGTAGTTCCGAACGGCCTTCTACAATAACACATACAAGCCATTCACAATCCGCTACCTCAGCAGCATTCGTCGTCGCCAATGCCTCAGCCAATGATACCTTTATGCAGAATTCGGAGCAATTGCAGCAGCATATGCCACAGCCTGCTTTCATTTTCAGTGAAGGGAATGTCTCTTATCCACTAGCAGGGCCAGCACCTTTCCCTCCACATGCAGTAAGTGTCATACCGAATACAAACGCAATTCAACCGCCTGAATACCAAGCAACCTTTGTACCAAGCAGTGCCTACCCGATGGCCCCTCCTCCGTATTCACCTAGCATGGTATCAAGCAGTTACTTGCCACCACAGAATCCATTCTTCGCCAGTCCTTCTCAAAATTGATATATGTTTGGGGCATCATTCGTGTAGAAATATGGATTTAACAAAGAATTTCATCATTTATAGTTGCAAATGAAAGCAGAAAATCTGAAAGCTCTTCAATTTTACAATCAACTATCACTTCTGGTTAAATCGTCAAATAAGAATATAGTTTTTTACTAGAAGCTATAAACATAGAAATTTGTGCTCGTTTGTCAATTAAGATATGACCTAGTTTGTGAGACTACTCATTTACAAGCCTTTATGATATTATCTTATAGCTCGTACGTATTCAGCTTACTACATATCAATGAGGTTTTTGCAAAGGATACAAGACTCCGTAACAAGTCTTTCTAGATTAAAACAGCTCTACTGTGAGTTCAAATATGAAAAAAAAATATGTTTTCTTTGAAATATAACAAATGCAACAGCGTCCTTTTTCTTTGACATTGTCTTTAGTTTTTTGAAAGATTTCGATCACAAAGAGTTTTGGACGGTAAAAAATTAAGGCGGTCAGTATCACAAAAAAATTAAGACGGTAAAAATTTTGGACACCCCTACTGGCCAAAATTGTAAGCGTTTAATTTAGCTTTGAGCTTCAAGAATCAGAGTGGAAAAAAATTGGGCAAGTACAGATTTGCTATAAGGATTGCATATATTGAAATTTAGGTATTGGAAGTTGTTCCTCAATACCTTTTTATCTTAATATATGTTACAATGACATACGAGGGTTCCAAGACGATGCCGTAGAGAACATGAAAATACATAGCAGCCCTGCGACCATATCATTGAATCCATATCATATAACTTACAACTAATTTTTAAATATAAATATTAAAGATTACATAATATCTTTAATATTCCACACTAGATGTCCGTTCTGTTTATCTCGCCATTTAAAAAAACATTCAATCGGGTATAGCATCAGGGTCTTCTATATAAACTACGCCGATATAGTGTCTCTGGTGAACTACTGACACTGTTGCAAAGTTTTCTCCACAATAGAAAACAGCGTACTTTTTTAAATGGCAAAGCATCTACATGGTGTAATCGGGGCTCCACAAGGTTCTTTCTTGGGTCCTCTCTTCTTTCTGATCTATGTCGATGACTTGACTGAGTGGAACGTAAAACCTTTTGCCGATGACACATCAATCTCACAGTTGTTCCATCGCTCCTATTCATTGCGACCCCAATATGCAGCATTAATCTAATTTATTGGCTCCTGGACACAA